TTCCCCATCCCCGCTCGGGGGAGGGGCCCGAGTCGCGCCGACGCCGCCGAGTGCAGAGCCCGCGCCGCTCGGGGCCGCCCCGCTGCGCCCGCCGCCGCCGCCGCCGCCGCCGCCGCCGCCGGGTCCCGCTCGGCTCGGCGCGGCGCCGTCACGTGTGCGGCTCGCCAGCCGCGTCCCCTTCGCGCACTTTCTGCACTCGGCGGCCTCGGCGCGACTCGGGCCCCTCCCCCGAGCGGGGATGGGGAAGTCAAGGCAGCGAGCGCCCGCTGGGGTGCGTCTCCATGCCCGCCGGCGGGCGCACCGCGTCGTCCGCTCTGCGGCAATCAGAGAGTTGTGCTGGGGCTCGCTCGTCTTCCCCGGAGTTAGTTGCCTCCTCTCCCGGGTCGCGTCGAGGTCGTACTAAACCGTGGCGGGTCTCCTTTTCTGCCTGCAACAGCCCCGGGTCCCGTCCGGCCGCACGCCCACCTCCAAGGGAGAGTCCCCGGAGCCGAAGAAAATTCGCTCTGAGCACGCAGAACACAGCAGCGGGCAAATCAGAGTGCAGATGAACCCGCCCCCATTGTGAAACTCACACGGTTTCTACTACTGTGGGCATCAAAACGTTCTTGACGCGGCCGCAGCCGGAAACTACCCTCGATCAAGCTAAACTGCCCAGAGCCCAAGCACAGTAACTATGCCCCCTGCATAGAGGCACTAACAGCAAGGGTACATCTGGCAAGAGATTTGCCATCCCTGGACAAGTACACGGTTATACAATGGTTCCTTGCACACGTGAATACCTGTGCATAACCCAGGGCCCCTGCGCAGTGGCTTGCCTGTGACCCTGCAGGGTGACCCAGCACTGAACCACCCTACCCTCTCCTGCAAAATGGACGTATACACGAGTCCGTTCAGCCTGCAGTCAACACCTGCTGCAAATCTTCTACAAGCCTGTAAAGCTTGCCATTGGGGGCAGGAGGAACAGACACTCAAAGAGTGAGGGGGACCCACGTTAACCCTAAATTCAGCTTGAGAATCCAGACCCTCTCTGAACCACCAGATACTATTCCTACAGTGGGAACTGCTGAGGCACACCCAAGGTAAGTATGTTTTTGCAGGTTTGTAGGCGCTGTCGAGCCTATCCAGGTGGCCTGTCCTCTATTCCATTTTATATTTCACTCTGCTCTGGACTCAGATCCTGGTTTTTGATAAGACTAAAGGCAGTAGAAGGAGCAGGGCTAAAGGTGAGACTCCTTCTGTGGTTGTACAAGTCCTTGGTTTCAAGGGAGGAGGCGGTGATCAGTTCAGTTCCCCCAAAATTGCTCCTCGTTTTCAACAAACCACAGTTGCTTGATTTCGCCCCATCTAGAGCCCTCTCTGGTTAGCTTAGCAGAGCCCCTTCCCCTGCCCAGCACTACCCTGCCAAAGGAACGACAGCCTTTCCTCACCTCCTTGAACCCTGTGTTCTGCCACCCCACCCCCACCCCATGCCAGACTTGCTGGGGAACTGGCCTCACGTTCTGCAGTCCCCTACCTCTTCCCAGCTCCAGTTTTCTGCCCAAGTCAGGCTCCCCAGGCCCCGCTTTCTGTCCACCTCAACATAATCATAGAACCACCCAGTCTCCCCACCAAGCAAATCACTTACCCTCTGGGAAAGCCACGGAAACACTACCAGCTGCCACTCTCAATCTAGACCAGCGTTGTCTTGTCAGGACTACCTTACCAGGAGTGGACCACCCTGCCGCCCCCCCGAGACCAACAGCAAAGACGCTGCTACCCCCATTTAACCCCCAAGGGAAAATGAGAGAACCATGGCTAGAGTCACAATACCCTGCCGGTGATTCAATTATTGTTTCTGCCAACGTATATTTCGTGAGAACCGTCTCTGCAAGAGCAAGTGTCAGAGTCCCAGCAGAAAACAAAGGCACTTGGCCCCTAAGCATGGATTTGAAGATAAAGAGATGCTTCCCCCCCACCCCCCAACCCCAGGCACAAACTGCTGGCTTGAGGTTCACATGGCAATTTGCAGGGCCAGCTACTTGCTGATTTTTATTTTGATATGCAACTTGGAAGCTGGAGGCCTGGCAAGAATGCCCAAACATGGTTAATATACTCCTTGAAAGCCCTCCTCTGTAGTCATTATCTACATTTGAGGCCATTCTCAGGTGGATAATCGGCAAAGCCTGAGACCGTGTGTGCCTCCTAACCACAGGGCACAGTGGAAAACACACTGAATTTTGAGTTAGGAGAACTACTTTCTAACTTTGAGGACTCTGTCAAATAAACTCACCAAGCTTCAATTTTCTTATCTACAAAAAATAAAGCCATCTTAATCCCTATCTATCACTCAGGACTGCTCAGAGTATCAGATAGAATCATAGAGATAGAATAAGTACAATTGTAAAGGCCCCAGTTAGAAGTATTACGGGCAAGTGCATTGGAGACATGCACATGGAGACATGTCCCAGCTTTGCAACCAAGTGGTCATGTGATTTTTGTCCTGGTCATCTCACCTCTCTGGGCATTGGTTTTTTCATATGTGAAATGAAAAGAGATCTTGCAGCCCTGATCGTTCCCTGCCCCCTTCAGGATGCCCACCTGAGCATGAGATGAGAGCAGCTCCAGGTGAGGCCACCCAGGATAGGGGTCAGAGCTGAATCGTGCAATTAAGCACATGTTCCTCCTAGCTTCGAACCCAGATCTGGGTTGTAAACAAGCCAGCACTTCCTCCACGCCTCCAAAATACCCTCAACATTGGGGTGGGAATGTAGACAGAGGCTGTACCCTCATTCCCCCCTGCCCCAACGTGTTTGGTCTTGCTCTTGATGCTGTGCAGTATCATGAGGGAAATCAACATGCATGGGAATTTAATACTAGACTCACACCTGTATAAAAAAGACTTGAGCTTTTCCTCAGACTGTAAACTGCCCTCCTCTGTCCTCTGCCCATCCTAGGCCATCCTGAGCTTGGGCTGGAGATAAAGCTAGGCAAAAACCACCCAGAGGTCTTGGGGTCCCACGTTTTTATCCAGATGGAGTCACATTTAAAATAGTTAACGAGGCGGGACCTGGGTGGCTCAGTTGTTAGCATCTGCCTTTGGCTCAGGTCATGATCCCTGGGTCCTGGGATCGAACCCCACATCGGGCTCCCCGCTCCGCGGGAGGCCTGCTTCTCCCTCTCCCACTCCCCCTGCTTGTGTTCCCTCTCTCGCTGTGTCTCTCTCTGTCAAATAAATAAATAAAATCTTTAAAATAAATAAATAAATAAATAATCTTTTAAAAAATAAATAAAATAAAATAATGAACAAGGACAGCCATGAGGAGAAGGGGAAAAATCCCAGAAGCCTAACTGAACTTCTTTTTGTTCTCTTTCTCCCCTCATTAGCTTCCCAAATACCAGGATCTATCTGCTCACCCTCCCCACCCGCACCCCCCAGGCCTACCCAACTCCTATTCCTCCTCCAGGTTCCAAAGGCCTCCCTCTGCACCCAGCCTAGTTTACAGGCCCTTACACTAAGGTTCTAAGTTCCCTGTGCTCTTTGATGCTTCCTCTCTGGTCATATTAGCTATTGAACTTCATTTTCCTCTCAAACCACAAGCAGCAGGAGGCTAACAACGGGCTTGTCTTGCTTATGTCTGTGTTCCCGGTGCCCAGCATAATCCTGGCACAGAGTGAGTGCTCAGTGATGCTCACAGAATGCATGTGTATGAATGAAGGGGAGGGATGACCCCCCTTTGCCTTGTGGTAAGGGTTTAGGGCAGTTAAGGCACCAAGGCAGCTGAACGTTAGACCTTTTCTTACCACCATCTCTCCCCACTCACCACTTCTTTCTCCCAAAGTTGGCTTCTCTGAGTCACAACCAGACCTCAGAGCCACTGGAACAGAAAAGGGACCCCCCCCAACACCTGGGAGCGGTAAACTTGCACATCACTTTAGCCAAATAACTATTATTCACCTCACCAGCCAGGGTAAGATAGAAATACCCTCCTGCCCCAAAGAAATAACACTTTCTTCTGCTGTTGCCAAAAATTCCTTTAGTTAAGGCAAAGTCTGGAATAATTGATGGGGTTGAAAATCGGATGCATCGAGAACATAGAACAAGTAACTTAGATTCACGCTCTAGAATAAATTAAATTCAAAGAGGAGGTTCTGGAAATAGGAGTAACTTACTTTTGCATAGCAGCATTTTACATTTATTTGCATAGCATTATAACAACCTTATCTATCAAATGTCATCTCTCAGCAACTGGTTGAAGTGGGCCAAAGTGGGCATTACTGACACCCCTATTTCACAGATTTTGAGAATGAAGTCTCAAAAAGGAAGGTTACATCACTGGCCCAAATTCACGCAGTTTGTGAGAGCTAGATTCAAACCCAGGCTCTCTGACGTTTTCTGCTGTGTCTGATTTCCCTGAGGCCGACAGAAGAGCTGGTGTTTCAAGTCCCAGGTTGAGTAAGGCAGTGAGAACCAGCACAGACAGGGGAAGACAGAATTGCTCAGGTCCTCAGCCCTCCCTCTACCAGGCCCTGCTTCAGCCCTCCGGCAACCAACACCGTCCTCCCCAGGTGCTAGCAGAGATGTGGCGCTCATTTGCCTTACTCCCCCACCTCAGGCCCATGATTGGGCCACAGAGAGAGTTACGTTACAGAGTTCCCAAGTTAAATCCTCTTTGCTATACTTTTCTAGAAAAATGTAATGAGGGATTTTGTTTCGAATTTTCAAATGGGGGATTTTGCTTCAAAACCCATGAAGGAGCATAGGTTTTAAGAGGCTGCCCTCAACTTCTGGTTCCCCTGATTACCTAAGGGTCTTGCCTTGATCTCTCTGCAACTCAACTTCTTGAACTTTTATGACCAGAAAGTATTTAGACCTTTCTCACAAAGCCTGTGTAGCAAAAATGTAGAAAAGTTTATCATCATTATGTAGACACAAGGACAAAATCTCCTGACCAGACCGTTTGCTGAGGGTCACTGGGAAATTATCTCCTTCTCTATGAATCTAGAATCAGACTCCCCTTCCAGGGTTTGGACTGCAGGGGAGGAGCTAAAGCTGGAGATTCTTTGAAAACCCCTGAAAAATTAAAGATCTTTTTGGCTTTATTCAATGATTCACGAATCAAGCAGCATCCCATCTAGCAGAAAGAAGCTCCAAAGAGCTGCACGAAATAAAGAACATACAGGCAGAAGGGGGCAGGAAGAGGAAATGATTTATAAAAGCAAAGAATGGATTACTTGGTGGCAAGGTCTCCTTTCTTTAGGGGACAGCAGGGGTCTATCAGGCAGATTACCTTACAAGGGCTGACCAGATTATTCCAGATTGACTGGTTTATGAGTCCATTCCTGGGGGAGACCGAAATATGAATATTAAGTCTAAGTTGGCTGGCATGGGGCTTAGCACAAGTGACTCCATTTGGGGCCTGTTGTCTTTTTTTAACAGTACTTACCTCCTTTTCTAAATTACAAGTAGGTCTTTGGACCTATCCCCCTGTCTTGCATTTAATAGATCATAGGCTATTGAGTTGAAAAGAATGGCTGGGGGCAGGGGGTGGAATGATTTCGAATTACTGCTCTAGGAAGACCGAATTTCCCATCCAAGCGGCCACAACAAAGGATGCTAGAAAGATAGTGGAGGGTCCTGTCAGCACCAGGTGAGTGAGCCTAGCCAAGAACAGTGAGTCCTTCCGTTGTAACATACTTTTATGTATGATGCAGTCATTGCTGACCACCCGATGATAGGGATAATAGGGTACAAGTGTCTGGAGAGGATCCAGCCACTACCTGCAAGGAACTTGAAGAAAGTGAAGACAGATAAACAAAAATAGCCTAATATGTGAACATGGTGTGAAATTAAGCCAGGAAGCCATTAGACTGAAGTGGCTCTAACACTTGGGTGGCTTCTGTGAGCAAACCAAACCCTAAGCCTGTAAATGCTTCAAGTGTAAGAAATCAAAACCTAAGGATAGCCCATCACAAATAGCCAACTAGGCTTTTAGGCTGTAGCCAATCAAATAGTTACTTTTTTTTTTTTTTTTTTTTTTTTTTTGCTTCTGCACCTTCTCTACATAAGTATTTTCCCCAGCTCCTGTCAGAGAAGCATTCC